TCTACACAGTTTTAGGACTGCATTTTTGGGGAAGAGGTTTTACCCCAAGCTAAGGAGACTTTTTCTACCTTAGTGCTTTCACTGGAGGAAGAGTTCTTTCAGGGTCCTGGATCATTCAAGCATCCAACAGAAACCCCAGTACTGCATGGGCCAAAGACTTGGCTTTAGTTCCTGAAGCTATTAAGATTTGAGGCTGGGCTGGGGTTATGGCTCAGTGGTACAGTGCTTGCCTAGCATGGGTGCGCAATTCCCAGTCCTACATACAAATAAATTAATTAAATAAAGGTCCATCAACCACTATTAAAAAAAAGTAAGATTTGAAGCTGTGTGATCCTAGTATTGGCAAAGGTCCCTGCAGCCTGTCACATTAGCATGCACTTCGTCATCTAGTTTCAGTGTCAATGTTTGGTCTCTGAACTTGGTTCTGAACTTTGAAAGAGCATATGGTACCTTTCCCAGAACTTCTAGGTTTTCATACTGGGAAGGATTCCAGAACATGGAGAGCACCGTACTACCCAAAGAGCTCACGTCGCACACCACATGTCTTAGCCCACTAAGAACAGAGCCTCACCGGCAATATTCCCGAGCGCCCACACAGCTTGCTCGCACACGGTCATATGGGGAGAAGACAGGAGCTCAATCAAGGGCAGGACAGCGCCCCCTTCCACCACGGCTCGGGTCTGATCCGAAGTCCCAGAAGCAATGTTGGTGAGAGCCCAGGCTGCCTCGAACTGCAGGAAGGGATGGAGTGACCACTTCAGGAACTCCACCAGCCTCGGGATGAGTCCTGCTGCAACAAACGATTTCAGGGGAGGGTTCCGTTCCCGGGACAACATTTTCCTATGAAAGGAAAGAGAGGGGAATACAGGGAGGGAGACCTTCAGGACCTCCTTCTCGATGTTCTTAGCATTTCTAACATCACAAAAAACAAACAGCAGGATCCCACAGCCACTTAACTCAGCCTATAGCACTGTGCAGCCACCAGGCAATATTCTCTTTGAATATTTTATCTGTGAGCTAAAGGTCCTGTAGAGGCTACAGTAAATTAAGCAATTCATCTCTGATAACATATTGCATCTTTTCTGTTGCCCTCTAAACAGTATAGCATAGAACCTTAGTCTTGCTTTTAGAAGGACTAGCCTTCTCCTGTGTTTTATGAGCATTTTCTCAAAGCCAAGAATCCAAAGGGGTCATGAGAGCTCATTTCAGGCTGTAAACCTGCAAATAGCAAAAATCTGCTTGGTGATACCTGGCTGCCTGTGTGGCCTGGAAACATACAACTGGATCAGAACTATTCACACTTTTGATTATTTCATCCAGAGTGAGGTCGACCTGCAAAAGAGAGACACAGTCAGGCCAGAGTCTTTGCCAAAAGAGAGAATAAATATCACCTAGTCTACTCATCTATCCTGGTTTCAACAGGATGCCCCTTTGTGCATGCAGGTCTATAGTAGGGAAGGGGGTAAAACTTCTTTGGTGCATAGGTCATAGGTCATAGTGGATACTCTCTATGCTTAAGGGAGGAATAATTCACTTGGATCTTCCGAACCCTTTTACTCTGTGCATTAACATAATAGTGGATATCAGAAAAACAAATAGCAAGTGAGGACCTTCAAATTAACCATCTTCTGTAAAGGCAATGAGAAAACTGACAATCTTAAAGCAAGTAGAAAAAAAGGAAATAATAAAGACTAAAAACAGAGATTGAGAAAATAGAGAAAAGTCAACGAAAGTAAAAGTTGGTTCTTGAAAATATCAACAAAACTACATTTAGCTAGACTTACCAAGAGAGAAAAGAGAACCAAGTCATTGAAAATCAGAAATTAAAGTGA